AATTTTTTCATAAGACAAGTTTGATGTAAAATTTTCCGCTCTTTCGAAATCCGCAGTCAAAAATAGGGTGTCCTATTTAAAAAAACCATCGTGACCTTGACATGACCTTCAAAATTGACCTCAAGGTCAAAACTAATGGTACAATTAAATGACCCCCTCTGTCCTGGTCAACTTTTATCTAAACTATTTTTTTGTAGATACCGTAATTTGGAAGATATTCGGGTCCATAGATTAAAATGACTCACCCTGTATACATATACATACGTATATAGAATTATCCTAGTAAACCCCATTCGTCATACAATGGAATTTTCTTTATCATTAACTTTTTATAACTATCACTCTGTAAACCTGGATTTATAAAAGTACCCGTGCTCATGATCTCATCCAAATCTTTTGACTCACTCTTACTACACAGCATGAGCGGTAAAATCGTAAAGGATGCTATCATTCCATAGCTAGCTCTTCGCTTTAGAATAGCCTTCAATTCTTCCATGGTGAGCGGCTGCGTCTTGCAGTTCAGTTGCTTCATAGTCGCCGACAAGGTGCCAAGGTATTCGTTTAATAGAGTATTTCTCTCATTTTCCATGACATCCATGGAAGGACTTGTATTGAGAAAATAATGAAGATCGAGTGCCGGCGTTGTGTAGACGCACATTTGGAAGTCTACCTGTAATTATATGAATTTTCATGATCAATCAACGTTTCGAGTTGTCTGCAAATAAATTGGAAATAAACTCTATTCGCGGAAGTAGGACGTTTAGGAATATTATGTTTAGGAAGTTGCGGCAAAAAATTAATAATTTGCGCGATTGATACGAAAAAACAGTCACGGATGCAATAGCAGAATGCGATTAAACAGGTGGATTTATTGCATTATTTACAGACTGCATTTTCAAGTGTCTCCTATTATTACCATCTTTGTCTGTTTTGATAATTAAATTGCAGATAATTGAAATGTGTTAATACTATATAATAGTGTTTTACGGAATATTATCAATTTATTTTGTTTATTCTTACGGGAACTTTTATCATTGCACTCAACTATAATAAAAATTTAGAAATGTAGATAATTAAAATGAATAAGTAACTGAACTCTGTTATTATATTTGAATTATGTTCATAATGGTTTACATTTTTCTAAATTAAAGTAATATATTTCAAGTAAATTCGTCAACAATGAGTCATACCATATGCAAGTATAAATTAAATATTTTACGAATTATTTAAGTTTAATTCTTAGCAAGTGACGAACACATATATGGCTCGGTGTAAAAACAGCTACTTCGACTTATAATCAGTAGATCTCAGGTTCGATCCGGACTGTCTTTTCTCATACCATATATATCTCGTTTTATAAAAAGAAATTGATCAAAGAAGCATGGTTAAAAAGATGCACATTCTAAATGAATCTTAAGGACCTTATATGAAGTCTAACGAAACCTAAAGTAATTGATCCTGGAGCTGTATATTAGGTCTGGAGTTATATATAATATTAATTAAAAGTCTTGTGAAGGGACTTGTGAAGAAAGGTACAGATTTTACATTAAACCTAAGATTTGAAGAAGGAAGTTGAATTATAAGGTTGTAGACATATACAAGGTGTTAGTTAAGTATGTTGCCATACTCGACAGATTCTTTGGTTTATTTTAAGTAAAAAAAGTCCATATAAACATGTATTCTAAACGGCTTAGTTTCCGAAATAAAAAAATTTAAACGTGTAGTAATAATCAGTTTATTTGAAAGAAATACAGCTTGAACTAATCAAAAACAGAAAAACAAAAACAGACTTCAGTTCTTCTGATGAAATAAAACAATTAGATGAATTGTTGAAAATGTCCACCTTGCGCCATCGAGCCTTCTTCTCAAAGATTGACGTACACGCTCAAAGATCAGAATTGAAGTCTATTTTTGATTTTGTGACCTTGACTTTGTCACTTTGTTTACGATTGTATGAATCGTAACGGTAACTCACGTGAAGCAAAGCATATTTATAGGAAGGTATCTCCAACGCAATTTATCGTTTCGTCAAACATTTGCGAACATTCACCTGTATTTCGGAAATTAAGCCGTTTAGGACACATGTTTATATGGACTTTTCTACTTGAAATAAATCAAAGAATCGCTCTGTTGAGTATGGCAACATACTTAACTAACACCCTGTATATTGATATACAACGCTGGGCTGGGACTGACAATTTGAAATACAAAGGAATGTGATGGTACTTACAAAAATCTGATCTGTAGGTTTGCCATTATTGTCGTATTTGAACAACATATTGTTCAGGTGACAATCACCATGATTAATAACATTAAATTCATCCTCAAAGGGCTTGATTGCATCTTCTGCTATTTGATATACGTGATTGGAGAGTTTAGCAATTTTTTCCGAGTATCTAGCGATAAAAATCACATAAACATAAAATTATGTAAAACTCACACAAATGTTATGCTCTAAACGGTACAGTTTGTACTTATATTTGTCATTTGCTGCTTACGATTAACATCAATCTTTTCGTATTAAACCCTCATCATCTTGTGCCATATAAAACGTTACATTGGCATTAAATATGCAATAGAACAATAAATACTGCTGTTTATGTATGCTAATCTTACTTTTTCACTTCTGGCCAGTTTGCAATTTCATCTGCTAAAGCTTTAGTACCCATAATGAAAAAAGCTTGCAGTTCTGGCGGATGCTGATGGTAAAACATTCCTTTCGAATATTCTTTTTGCTTTGATTCCTAAATGTATTCAAATATTTTTAATAAAGAACATTGATGTCTTTCCAGTTGATTATTAATAATTAAGTTTATTGTACGAATTATGTGAAAATGAGGAATGTCATATAGATGAGATTGTACAGTAAAATTTACGACAATAATTTTACTAATATGCAATTTTTTATCAAACAGTAGATCTTTTCTATAAAAAGTTATAAGACAAGCTATATTATTTATTATAATTTTTAATATCGAATGTTTAATATTTTAATTTCAAATTAAGATTTTGCAAATACAAAAAACTTATTGATTACAATTAAGTGAGTACGTATCCTTTTTTAAGGTAAAAGGGATACATACTTTTTCTTTCTCTAATTGTTTTCGTTTTGAAAGTATTTAACATAGGCGTGATATTTCAGTTGAGGAAAGGTCGATTATTTTTTGTACTAATTGTAAAAAATAATTGTATACATTTTTATGAGTAAATTGTAGTTTCTTTTCACAAAGGATATGTTCCCAAACTGTTTTCTTAACTAAATATGCCTCAATAAAGAATAGTATAATACGTTTGTAACGAATATTAAAATGGAATTTGCATTTAATATGATGACTGAAAATTATCTCTATAGAATTACTATAAGGCCGGAATCAGACTACGCATTGAAGATTGAGGTTGAAGATTGAAGAATGAAATTTGACCAATAAGGACAAAGAAATTTTAATTCCTTTCGTTTCGATTGGTCAAATTTGAATTTTTCAATCTTCAATCTCAATCTTCAATGCGTAGTTTGATTCCTAAAATAATTCTCTATAGAAATATATAAAATATATTAAATACATGATCCCCTAAAGCGTTCTACAAGTTTTATTAAAAATTATCTCTTGACAAAATTTATAGCAATTAAAGTTAAAATTATTTGGTATTTTAAATTAATGTTTCTTATATGAAGCTTTCAAATATCTCCGTGATTACTACTTATCATATTTTTAACAAATTCTTCAAATAATATAACACAAAAGAATTTCGTAGCAATGCGATATTCATACAATCAAAGTAATATTTCACATATATTTTTTATATTTAATATTAAATTGCTTATTAATGTAAAAGATTAGTAAAAGTATCGATTAGGGGACCAAGCAATGACCTTGACCTTTGCATATGTTGCTTTAAACAGACAAATTCTTCGCATTAAAAACAAATTTTCTGCTAAAGCAGTGAACTTGTGTTCGCATAGAAAATCGCGCGCCTCTAGGCAATGGGGGAGGTGGAATGCAGTAGATGGATGTAGTCTAGAATAGTTTCTGATATTATATATATAGCCGAAATAAGACGTTATTTTTTCAAACTTTTTTGTTAATAAAATCCTTTTTAACGAAAGACACCTAAAACTTGTTGAAGGTCACTCAGAGTCATGACCTTGACAACGTATGTCAAGGTCAAGATCATTGGAGCTTGGTCCCCTAATCGATACTTTTACCAAAAGATTTATTCCTGAGATCGTTCTGGAATTCATGCTATTGACTAAAACTCTTAACAATTTATACAATATTACGATTGAATAACATGTGATTTACCTTCTCACATACGGCAACAGAGGCTGCGTGAAACCTGGCAAGTCCTTGAAACGCCAATACGGAATGAGCTAGGTCAAGACCAGACAAACGATCGGCCATTCGAAAGCCAAGAGACATGAGATCTTCTATCGCGAGAAGTGTTGGATTTTCATTTTGCACGTATAGGCTTCTCCCACTTAAACGGTACTTAGGCCCTAACAACTTATTCATTTTATCCAAGGTATCTGACATCATTAATATTTCTGTTTGAAAATAACCTGCTTGTGTGATCTGTAACAAGTTTATTTAAGATTAATAAATGGATCAATAAATAAAAGAAGGGCAACGAGCCAATTATACTGTAAGATATTTAATAATCGTATATATACAAACGTTTCGACACCGATCGGGTCATTTTCAATGTAAAACAACAAACACTCTTACATAAATTATCGGAAAATTCAGTCAAATTATAATGTCCAGTAAAAAGTTCGGTTGTATTCATAATATGCGGTCGATATGTAAAATAATATCAAAGGAGATCTCATCTCACTTTTCACAATTCTACAATCTTACAAATAAATAATAAATTAACATTGCGTTATAGTTTAAATTATCAATGTACATTTTATAGTAAATTAAATTAAAATACAAATTAAATGAAAAATATATACTTTAAATTGTCTTAATGATGTAAGTTAGACGCCGAGAGGAAAACGCAATTAACAAAGTTATATTTAATAAAAAAAAGCCATATTACAATTGGATATAACATACTCGACGATGTCAAGCGACGTTATGACAAAAAGGAAATAAGGAAATAGGAAAAATAATTGGAAGGAGACAAAGGACAATGTTAAGAAGGGGAAAGAGATTGGATAATGTTTAGATATGATTCTGGCAGAGAATCTGTGTCATTTTGTTTGTTAGGCGTTTGTTGTTTTATGTGAACCATCTCCGATATCAATCTCTTATTAAAAGAAGCTTCTCTGTCTAAAATTTCAACATTGCCCCAGTCGAAATTGTGATTCTGGTCAATGTGGTGACTTCTGATCACTGTTGGAGATTTTGACAAAGATTACACAAAGACAAGATTACACGAACATGTCTCCGATATTAATAAGAAGTCAAAATCCCTAACAGTGATCACAAGTCACCGCATTGACCAGAATCACAATTTCGACTGGGGCAATGTTGAAATTTTAGACAGAGAAGCTTCTTTTAATAAGAGATTGATATCGGAGATGATTAGTGGACAAAATGTTGTTTTACATTGAAAATGACCCGATCGGTGTCGAAACGTTTGTATATATACGATTATTAAATATCTTACAGTATAATTGGCTCGTTGCCCTTCTTTTATTTATTGATTTATTCTAATTAAGCTACATTAACAATTATTTTATATACGCGGGCGAGACGATGCGTTACAATAATTTTTACTTTTCATTTTCGTTTATTAGAACTCATTTTGGTTTAGATGCGAATTTATTAAGAAATACTGTAATTTAATTAAACTAAATGTAAAGATTAGAGTACGTATAAAATTTTTGAAATCATGTATTAAATACAATTTAATACCTCCGCATTTATAGAGATTTACTAGGATGAACAATCTTTCTTTTTATAATGGATATTCTTACAATAGACTAAAAATAAGAACAATGTAAAAGCCATTTTACGTTTGGAATTAAAGGATGCACATTGCCATTTACATCATACTAGAAATAACATTTTCAATTCCAGTTGTGATATTCTGAATATCTTGCCAGCCTCAATAACATGTGAATTTTTTAAATATTTGGACCATATTAACAGTAGCTATTTTATTGAACAAACTTCTAGAATTGACAATAAGATAGATTGGCTAAGACAGAAAGATTTTAATTCAAAAAGATCTATAATAAAACTGATTTCGTATTGCATAACTTTTGACAATCATTTAAATAAAGTACAGATAAAATCTGAGAATGAGGAGGTTAGTCACTGTGTTGAGAATATAAACATCTCACCTGATAATTTTGATGATGCTGCTCCTCTCGAAAAATTGAACGATAAATGGTTTGTGAATTTGAGCAACACTGACATTCCCATTAAAGTAAAATATTTATTACAATTAGGAGAAGGGTTTGGTTTACCAGTTAATAAAAATAATTTAGACAGAACTACAGTGGAGTTCATAAAACAGATTGAATGTATTATAATATAAATGGTCACCCAAATAATATAACTAATTTTGTTAGACATAATTCAACAACTATACTAGAAAAATTTCAGAAAGATTTTCCAATAAATAAATCTAACGATAAATTACTATGATTGGCAAATGATAATATCACTAAAGATTTTTTTAAAAACCATCCTGATGTATTAGTCACTAAAGCTGACTAGGGGAATGTCACGGTTGCTCTAAATAAAGATAACTATATCGAAAAAATGGAGGAGATTTTATCAGCTAAAGATACTTATGAAATTATTAACAAAGATCCGACTAAGAAAGTTACCAGTGACTTGCGTTCCTTGTTGGTTAGATGGAAAAGCAAAAAATTTATTGACGATTCCACATATCGAAAATTACTCATGACTGATGGTATTATTCCCACAGCATACGGTTTAGCTAAGATCCATAAATAGGGAAACCCGTTAAGAATTATTGTCGCATCTACTAATAGTCCATTATATTATTTTTCGTTATATCTGCACAATATCATCAATGATTCTATATTGGAAGCACCTAGCTACATCAGGAATAGTTTTCAACTTGTCGAAAAATTAAAGGATATTCGCATTGAACCTGATCATTTGCTGGTATCATTGGACGTCGTTTCCTTGTTTACGAATGTTTCCACAGAATTGGTGTCTGATGGTATTACAAAAAGATGGGATTATATATCGGGGAAGACATTTTATTTTCGATATGTGGATGATATTATCTTAGCGGCTCCATCAGAGAATATCAATGACATCTTAAATATTTTTAATTCTTTACATAGTAGATTGCAATTCACTATGGAGGTTGGCACAGATGGAAAACTAAGTTTCTTAGATACTATGTTGATTGTGGAAGATCAAGCTCTAGTTTTTGATTTATATCGCAATGCGACGTTTTCTGGCAGGTTTCTAAATTTTAATTCACACCATCCACTTTGTCATAAGAGGGATGTAATTTACAGTTTTGTCGACAAAATTATACGGTTATGTCATCCACGTTTCCAGCAAAACAATTTGATTAAGGCAATAAATATTTTTTTAAATAACGGTTATCCACTAGTTTTTATTTTTTCTTCAATTCAAAAAAGAATAAAGTTCCACATTAATAAGAGTGGAATGGTCGAGAAAAAGATCAAGGAGAAATTTTTCACGATTCCTTACGTGAGTTCGGTATCGGAAAGGTTTGCTCCAATTGCAAATAGGTTTCATTGTAAATTGGCCTTTTCGATACCAAATTCATTAAATAATTTGATTAAAAAGGGCAAAAATCAATTAGATCCCTTATGGAATCAAAATGTAGTTTACAAGATCTCTTGTGATGACTGTGAAGCCAGTTACGTGGGTCAGACAACTAAAGACAACTAAAAAGACAACTAAAGACAAGATTACACGAACATGTCTCCGATATTAATAAGAAGTCAAAATCCCCAACAGTGATCACAAGTTACCGCATTGACCAGAATCACAATTTCGACTGGGGCAATGTTGAAATTTTAGACAGAGAAGCTTCTTTTAATAAGAGATTGATATCGGAGATGATTTACATAAAACGACAAACGCATGCACAGTGGGCCAGACGACCCGAAAAACTGGCCAAAAGTCGAGTTTAAAATTTACTGTAAACAATATTTCATATGTCATAAGAATATCTCAGAGAACATATAAATAAACTGTATAATAAGGTTTTGGTAACAGGTTTCGAGGAATAGCCGCTTGATTACAAAATACAGGTGATAATTTCAGACCTATCTTTAAAATAAAAAACATTAAAACTATGAATATAAACTTTATAAATTAAATGTTTAAAAATCGTATTTGTTTTAAAAATGGACAAATAATAATGCTATACATTTATTTACTTTAAATATTAACACTACTTTCTGTGGCAGAGTTATTTATGCGAATATTTCTGATTTAAATAGATTATGACTTCACACAAATCCATCATGCTGACCTGTGCGACCTCGGAATTAATTTTTTTTGATACTGTTTTATTCATATGAATATGGTTGACGACAATAAGTTGCCACTTTTTGCTACTTTTGCTCGTTACTAAAGAGATATGTATTTATTTTCCCACTACTGCACAGTAGGCCAAGAGACTCGAATAAGTGACCAAAAATTCATTTACTCCAGAATTTTGATAAAATTATGAAAAATTATAGTACGGTTTTTCGGATCGCTGATTTCGAATCTGATGTCAGAATTGCACAATTCAAAATGCCGGATTCAAAATAGCGAACAATTTTCTATAATAATTGTCTAATTTTTATGAAATTCAGTAGTATATATCGATTTTTTAATTTTTTTTATTTAAAAATTTGAATGTAGTTAAACATTTTTGAAAATTGATTAATAATTATTATTCAAACATAATTACAAATCTTCATCATACTACTCTTCATTAGTCAAATGACCGTATCATGCAAACTTCCGTAAAAATTTGTAAGGCCGCTTGAGTCATTCTCTTTCTCGGTCTCGTTTGATTGAGAAAAAGAATACATAATTGGTCAAACTTAGGAATGTTTTACGAAAGTTTGCATGATACGGAGTTGACTAATGAAGAGCAGTGTGATGAAGGAGATTTCTAATTACGCTTGAATACTAATTAACCAGTTTAAAAAAATGTTAAAAATATAAAAATGATAAAATACAAAAAAAATTTT